GGTTTCGATACTTTGTGCTTAATTCCAAACAAACTCTTTATAAATTCTGAGGACTTACAACGCTAGAAACCGGGTTTCGATACTTTGTGCTTAATTCCAAACAAACTCTTTATAAATTCTGAGGACTTACAACGCTAGAAACCGGGTTTCGATACTTTGTGCTTAATTCCAAACAAACTCTTTATAAATTCTGAGGACTTACAACGCTAGAAACCGGGTTTCGATACTTTGTGCTTAATTCCAAACAAACTCTTTATAAATTCCCTTTGCCTTGTTTTAAAGAGTTCTATTTTTTAACTCACTAATTTTTTAAAACGTTCTATTTTTTAACTCACTAATTTTTTTAAAAAAGTTCTATTTTTTAACCTTATTAATTTTTAAAAAGTTCAATTTTTTACCTCATTATTTTTTTAAAAGTTCTATTTTTTACCTCATTAATTTTTTTTAAAGTTATATTTTTTACCTTATTATCATTTCCTTTGATAGATCCCATTATCCTGACGTAAGACATTTTATTTTTACCAATTTAACTTATATCTTCACCTTATGTATACGACTCCTAGTGTCTAATATGGGCATTCTGTTCTCACCGCATCTGTGTATTATATATTTCTCTATCAGTGGAACCTATTATCCCGGTAATCAAATCAACTCCCAAAACGGACATGCAGAGCGACGAGAACGTGGAGGGGGTGGACATCAACTGTACTGTTATAGAAGGCGATAAGAAAGTGGTTGGCTTTTTGACAGAATGGTTTGCAGCCTATAAATTTATCAGCGGTGAGTGTAACGTGTTTCGAAATGATTTTTGTTTGAAATGTTTAGGTTATTATAGAGATAATTTTAGTCAAGCTGCTGAAAGTGAAACTACACGTTTCGTAAAACTGCGTGGTAACAGGAGATATTTGAATTTTTTTACCTCATTTTTCGCGAAATGTTTACGACACAGGTTTCCCTTATATACGCTACATTCACGACTTCGAGACAAATATATTGACGATTTCGTGCAAATAAACTTTGGATATCTGTTAATTTTTTAGTGCTTGGATATTGGACAAATGATTTCAAATATTGGTAAAGTATTTATTGTGTAAAAATTAATTTATTTATTTAGCTTCTATTTGGAATCTTTTTACGAGAGGCTGGAATAAACCTAAATACCCATAAATAACCCCTTGCATTTGTAGTCTTACACGTTATTGATTTATAAATATATCCCCCTTGCATTTGTAATCTTACACGATATTGATTTATAAATATATCCCCCTTGCATTTGTAATCTTACACGATATTGATTTATAAATATATCCCCCTTGCATTTGTAGTCCTACACGATATTGATTTATAAATATATCCCCCTTGCATTTGTAGTCCCAAATGCAAGGGGGATATATTTATAAATCAATATCGTGTAAGACTACAAATGCAAGGGGGATATATTTATAAATCAATATCGTGTAGTAGTCCTACACGATATTGATTTATAAATATATCCCCCTTGCATTTGTAGTCCTACACGATATTGATTTATAAATAACCTGTTTTCGTTTCGCATACAAAAAAAAAGAAAAAAAGTGCGTTACTCAATAAACTCGGTGTTATAGAATAACATTCTTTGTATGCCTTTACCCAATATCTCTGTGCTGTAAGACAAACTTGAATGTTTCGAAATTACGACATGCAGTCTTTTATGACAACAAGGAAATGACGTACTTCCAATATCACGTCAGGAACGTCCAATAAAACTCGAAAACATAATTCAGCAACTTTGCTGTGATTGGATACGCCTTTTTGATGGATTTTTCCAGCACAGAGAGAGAGAGAGAAAGGACTCCTTTGTCGGGAACCTAACAAGTACAAGAAGAACATTGTTGGGTAAGAAGTGAGTGGGGGGGGGATCTCCTCCCAGTGAGAAAACAATGGCCAGTTTTTGAGAGCACAGTCTCTGATCTGGAACCCAATATTAAAGTGTTCTTATAAAACTTAATTAACTTTTTTTTTGACATTACTAGCCTTCTAAAAGAAGGAAATATTTCAAAAAAAAGTTGGATAGTTTAAAACATCATCGCGTGTCTTCTATAGATACATTTCAAAACAAAATCTGATGGTTATTTTTTTTTTCAGATTAGAAAAGATAGGAATATGGAATTTTAAACGTAATTTAGCCATTTTATTTGGTGTTTGTTTGTTTGTTTGTTTTTGAATTTCGCGCAAAGCTACACGAGGGCTATCTGCGCTAGCCGTCCCTAATTTAGTTGTGTAAGACTAGAGGGAAGGCAGCTAGTCATCACCTCCAACTCTTGGGCTACTCTTTTACCAACGAATAGTGGGATTGACCATCACATTATAACGCCCCCACGGCTGAAAGGGCGAGCATGTTTGGTGTGACGGGGATTCGAACCCGCGAATCTCAGATTGCGAGTCGAGTGCCCTAACCACCTTTATTTTATTATTTACTCTTTATAAATGTTTGTAAATACTATAATATTTATTATTATTATTTAAGTAGGTTTTATAGGAGTCTTTGCCCTCTACCACTTGTGGTCACTACATCTGATTAACTACTTCAAAATATTTTTCTTAGCAAATTCGAGTTTACAACTATTGTTAAATGTTAGGTTTACCTTAGCACAGATATTAGTAAGTATTGTGTTCCTATACGTTGCAAGTGAACCCGGACATTGTTTGTTTTTTTTGAGTTAAGCACAAAGCTACACAATGGGCTATCTGTGCTCTGCCAACCACGGGTATCGAAACCCAGATTCTAGCCTTGTAAGTCCGCAGACATACCTTTGTACCACTCGGTGGCTCCATTATTTGAGGTAGCTTCTTGAATATTGTCTGTGTCCATTTTTGTTATATTCTTTAAATAATAT